ATTCTATTCGTGAAGCCTTTGAAGCTTGTGTTATCACTCTTCCACACATTTCCACTGAACTACAAATTGCTGATATCTTCACCAAGGCTCTCACTCGTCATCGACATTGCTTCCTAAGTAGCAAATTGATGCTTGTTGATCAACCTGTATCAATTTGGGGGGGGCTGTCAACAGACTGCTTTGCTGTCCATATTTATTTTTGTCAACGGACAGCTTTGCTGTCCATATTTATTTCTGTTTATTTCCTTGATTTACTCATCTGAATAATGAGCTTAATTATTGACAGATTGTATAGAGATAAGATTAGCAGATAAGTAGGTATTTCCATGTATAGAATTCTTTGTACAGATTATATAATAGAGAGAAATCACAAGGCCAGACACTCGGCCATTTATATAGCATTTTTAGACTTATTTTGACACTCAAATCTTTCAATAATGAGCGTAGCCAAGATAATTCATAGCATGTACTTGTCATGGCTCTATATTCAGCTTCTGCTGAGGAAAGAGATATGGTTTTGTGTCTCTTTGTCCGCCAGGAAATAAGAGAAGATCCCAGAAAAAACACCGTAGTGGATCTACGAGATATTGGACAACCAGCCCAATCCGAATTAGAAAAAGCTCGCAAAGATAAATCATTTTGAGAAGGAAAAACAAACCTTGTCTTGGACTGCTTTTCAAATAACGTAATACACGCAAGGTAGCTTCCATGTGTGGTCTGCGTGGTGCATGCATGAATCTACTTAACACATGAAACGAGTAGGTGATATCCGGCCGACTAATAGTCAAATAAATTAGGCATCCAACAAGTCGCCTATACTGAGATGGATCTTTAAGCAATTCACCTGAATACGAGAGCTTTATGTTTTGTTCCATGGGAAAGTTCACAGGTTTAGCACCCAAAAATCCTCCATCTTTTAAAATTTCCAAAGTATATTTTCGTTGCGAGATGGAAATACCTTTCTTCGACCGAGAAACTTTGATGCCCAGAAAATATTTCAAATCACCCAAATCTTTAATCCAAGAATGACTATGTAGAAATTGCTTGAGAGCTAATATGGCATTGACATCATTACCCGTAATAAGAATGTCGTCAACGTATATCAACAAAGCTGTAAAAGTTTTGCCTTTCCGACATGTGAATAATGAGTAATCTGTTTTGGATTGAACAAAGCCAGCAGCTTGGATAGCTGTAGAGAACTTGGCAAACCATTGTTGGGAAGCCTACTTTAAGCCATATAACAACTTGTGAAGGTGACACAGTAGATTCTCCCCCTGTCGCTGAAGACCAGGAGGTGGAGACATATAAATTTCTTCATGGGGATCACCATGAAGAAAAATGTTGTTGACATCAAGTTGGTGAAGAGACCAATTCTGGGCAGTTTCTAAAGCCAATAAACAACGAACAATAACCATTTTAGCAGTGGGAGAAAAAGTGTCATGGTAATCTATACCTTCCAGCTGTGTGAAACCTTTTGCAACCAAACGAGCTTTGAAACGCTCAATAGTACCATCCGAGTGTCGTTTGATGTTATAAACCCAATGACAACCAATAGGCTTCTTACTAGGAGGAAAAGAAGCGAGAGACCAAGTGTGGTTAGCTTCTAAAGCAACCAATTCAGATTGCATTGCTTCTTGCCAATGTGAATGAGAAGCTGCTTCAGTATAAGATGTAGGCTCAATATCTTGACTGACAACAACAGTAAAAAAGCAATGCTGTGGTGAGTAACGATGATAAGAGACAAAATTGCAAATGGGATAACGCGTACCTTTTTGTGGACTTGATGACAAAGACGGCAAATAGTTGGGAGACGTTACTTGGTTATAGACATAATCATGTAAAGCCGTGGGAGGGTGATGAGGTCTTTGAGAGCGGCATAAAATGGGTTCGGGAGGAGGACTAGCAAGTGCATTTAGCGGTGAGGGTTGTTGGGCAGGATAAATTGGTTCCAGTGGTGAGGGTTGTTGGACTGGTGGAGAAGGATTGGGTACAGAAAGAGGAATCACTGGGGCTGAATTTGAGGAAGTGGATGGAATTGACTCATAAGGAAAAATAGTTTCATGAAAAACAACATCACGGCTAGTGAACATTTGGTGGGTGGCAAGGTCATAGAGCTTGTAAGCTTTCTGACCAACTGGATGGCCAAGAAAAATACATCGTTTGGCTCGAGGAGTGAATTTATGGGGGACGTGCACATCAGTAGTATAGGCAAGACACCCAAAAATTCGAATATGTGAATAAGAAGGAAGTTTACCATAAAGTCGTTCAAAAGGTGTTTGGCAAGAAAGGAGTGGTATGGGCAAACGATTGTAGAAACACATTCTGCCCAAAAATGTAAAGGAAGGTGGGCTTGAAAACGAAAAGCTCTAGCAGACTCAAGTATATGGCGGTGCTTGCGCTCTACAACCCCATTTTGTTGAGGAGTATAGACACAAGAATGTTGGTAAGTGGTCCTTTTGTGTTTAAAAAATTCCTAGATAGAGTAGAATTCTCCACCATTATCAACCCGAATGTTGGCTATAGAAACATGGAATTGTGTTTGGACAAATGAGAAAAAATTGACAAGTAAATGTTGTGTTTCACTTTTGTGATGCATAAAAAATACCCATGTGAATCTAGAATAATCATCCACAATAGTAAAAAAATATGTTGCACTAGAAAAAGAGACAATTTTATAGGGGCCCCAAATGTCACAATGAATTAATTCAAAAGGTCTAATGGACGAAATTTAACTAACAGAGAACGGAAGTCAACTTTGTTTTGCAAGGGCACAAACATCACAAGCATTATTAGACTGAAAAGGGAAATTTAACAAATGTTTTGCCATAAATTCTAATCTAAAGGAAGACAAATGCCCCAATTGGCGATGCCATAAAGAGGTGGAGGAGGTGGCCTAAGAACTGGGAAAACGACAAGAAATGGCTGCTGCGGATGGAGTTTGAGGTTTTGGCTTCTCTGACACTAACGCAACCAAGTAATAAAGTCCATCTCGTTGTTCACCCAAACCAATCCTTGTCTTCGTCGTCAAGTCCTACAAAATACACCAATGAGGGAAAAAGGTTACTTAACAATTGAGATCTCTGGTAACTCGACTCACAAACATTAAATCCACTTTAAAAGATGGCACACCAAGCACATTTTTTAAAGTAACAACATAATTCAGAGGTAAATTCCCAATGGATGTAATTGGAGTCTGTTCTCCACTTGGCATAGCAATTGGTGGTAAAAAGATGTTTTTCCTGCCGTTGACAAGCAAAGTTGGAGATGAAGTAATGTGGTCTATGGCACCACTGTCGATAATTAATTGATGGAGGCGCAACAATGTTTGTAACAAACCTGAGAAAGCAGCATTAGCTTTAGGATTAGCAGATTGTGTTGTTTCTTTACCTTGCATGATAGATAAAATTTACTAGATTTGCAAATCAGAGAGCCCATTTGTCACCGACGACACTTCTTGCATTATTGGACTTTCCTTGACATTGTTGATTGAAGATTGATGGCTATGGTTACGCTTGAAATGAGTGTGTCCTTGATTAGACCTTTTTGATGCATGTTTAAGGTGTTCTGGTGGGTACCCATTCAGCTTCCAACATGTTTCTCGTACATGATGGTCACAGTCACAATAAGAGCAATGCAAAGGTTTTCAATTAGATGGGTTGGAACGAGAAGAAGAACCTTGTCCATGTCGAACAGCCAGAGCCATCGGTTCAGTCCTTCAAACAACCATGGTTGAGTTCTCCACCATCTCACGTGCAGCCCCCAGGCTTCGCTGCTTCTCCTCTTGTACAATGGAAGAGTGAGCCTTGGCAGCATTAGGTAGTGGATTCATCAACAGAATTTGCCCTCGGATTGCACTGTAGGACTCATTGAGTCCTATGAGAAATTGCATCAATCTGCGTCTCTTATGGTCTACCCCACAAAAGCAAACGGTGTCATTATAGGATCCTAGTTCATCCCATAATTTTTTTAGTCTTGTGTAATAAGCTGATATAGTCATTTGATCTTGAGCAAGACAAGCAATGTCCCTCTCAATCTGAAAAATACGAGGGGCATTGCTTTGAGAAAAACGATCCCGAAAGTCTTCCCATACCTCCTGGGTGGTGGTCGAGAAAATGACACTGTCTGCAAGGTCCTGTATGAGTGAATTGAGAATCCAAGAGAGGATCATACCATTACATTTTGTCCATGAAGCATAATCGTCTAGTTTGGCTATGGCAGATGGCATTGTGGTGGTCCCGTCTATGAAACCTAACTTGGATTTGGTGTTCAAAGAAATTGTCATGGCTCTACACCATGTCGAATAATTATCCTCATTGAGGGGCTTGGAAACAAGTACCATTCCTGGATGATCAGAATGGTGAAGAAAATATGGATTGACAGCATCAAGCTTGCCTCCATTCGAAGGTTACTGGTCTATCATGATAAGGAGAAATAACAATAAAAAGAAGGCAAAAGAAAGAGAGTAGATGCTGAGAAATAGCAATAAAAAGAAGGCAAAAGAAAGGAGAAAGATGCACAGAGCTAGGGTATCATGCCTTGCTCTGATACCATGAAAAGAAGAGAAAAGTATTTGCCTTTTGAATAATTTTATTGAATTAGGAGACGTAGCTTTATACAAAAGATTTCCTACAATCATGCTAGTCTACTCTAGGTAGTCTAAGTATAAAAGGCAACTAAACAAATATATCCTACAATCATGCTAATCTATTCTAGGTAGTCTAAGTATAAAAGGCAATTAAACAAATATACAATTAATATAATATATTTGTCAATGAATGGCCAAATATCATTGACCTTCCCTTCTCAACAACTCTCTGGTGCTTCTCACCATCTCCTCTATCCTTCTCATGTTTCAAGATGGCTCTGGAGACCTGTCCGGAGTCTCTAAAGTGAAGTTTGCTATTGGGTTCATATGAACTCTTGGTGGATCAGTAGGGTGCGGATTGAATCTTGCCTCAACACAGCTTTGTTTTCAGAAGGTTTTCAAGAGAGGAACATTTATGGAGATCATTGATATCATATCCTATCCTTCAATAGTTGCAACTTGTGATGCTCTGGTGGGACTTTTTGCTAATGGAGAATGGAAAAGTTTAAGTAAGGAGATGGAATTGTATGAACTTGGGAAGGTGGCCTATGTGATGACCATTGTTTGGGCTACCATAGCTTGGCAAGTTTTTTCTGTTGGCCTTGTTGGATTGATCTTTGAGGTGTCTTCTCTCTTTTGCAATTCCATAAGTATTTTAGGCTTCCCTATTTTTCCAGTTTTGGGTGTGGTATTTTTCCATGACAAAATAGATGGAGTGAAGGTGATCTCCATGGTGTTGGCTATTTGGGGCATTGTTTCTTATGTCTATCAGCAATATCTGGATGAATCTAAGCCTAAGAATGATTCCAGAATTGCTAATTAATGAAGTTTCCGAATCTTTCCTTTTCTGGCCTTCAAGAAAAGTATGGTGGATATACCATACCCCATTGTAAGGAAAATATATTAATGAAATTGGACTAATTATTTTAAATCTTCATTAAGCTATAATATAGTGAAAAAATTGATCATCCACCACACGTCTCGCATCCTAAACGTCCTAGTCAGCACTCATTCTCTACCACGTGTGCATCAAATTCTATAGATTTTTAAAACTATACACTTTTGGTGGGTCCATAGAATCTGATGAGGATGATGTGTCATTTTCATGCTCCTTATAATTCTCTTCCCTGCTTGACTTTTTGGGAGCATTTGGATCATATAATATTTTATTATAGGAGAATATTATATTAACGGAATAAATGATCACCTTGAAGACTACCAGGAATGTTTAGAAAATGTGTTTGGTTGGTTCAAATAAATTGATGAATAATATGTTTGGTTGGAAGGATAAATAAATGGCTATGTTAATTGCCCTCATTTTTAAATATTAATTAGCAATAATTTTTTTTTTTTTGAATAATTTTTTTAATCCCCTTCTTTTCAGATTTAGCAAAAACACCTTCGCAATCAAAAATGTTTTAAGCTTAACAAAAACACCCCTACCCACCCCAAGCTACTGCCGGCAGCCAGCCACCATCGCTAGTGGCTACTGGTAGTGCCACAGATGTGGCGTGACATCAGCAGTGCCACAGATTAGGCTGTTTCACGGCTAGATCTATGTTCGTTTCACGACCATAAATGTGGTCGTGAAACAGCGGCCAGTTCATGGCCAAAAACTTGATTGTCTCACTGCTAGATCAGTCGCCGTTTCACGGCCATATATATTGGTCGTGAAAATAGCAAGATATGGCCTTTTTTCGACTATGGATCTATGATCCATGATAGAAAAAAGCCTCACTGGCGCATGGCCAGCCATATACGGTCGGTCGTATGCCATTATGGTGACTTTTGGCAGCCTCTGATGGCGATCGACAGTGGCTGGCAGTGGTGGCTAGTTTTGGGTATAATGACATTTCCGTAAATAATGACAATAACAAGGGCAATGTCATTTGAAAAATTTAAAAAACCAGCAAAAAAGTGTTTACATGAGTGAATTGAGTGTTTTGTAAATGTTAACAAATATAAGGTTAATTTAGACCAAATGCTTAACTGTTTAGGGGCAACATGGGAAACAAAATTGTATTACTAGGGTAAGTTTTAATAACAGAAAGCATCTGATCAAGCTTCTGTATCTGCTTTCATCGACCTTGCGACCTCTATCTTCCTTACTTCTAGTTTTGTACTAGTGGAGTGCTCATTGAATTACAACTCACCATGCTAAACTTCTTCAAGATCTCATTTGCATATTTTTTTTGGCAGACAAAAATGCCATTTGGAGATTTGGTGTATCTCCATCCCAAGGAAGAAGGTCATCTCTCTCAAGTCTGTCATCTCGAACTCCTTATGATTGCTTTCTTGAATTGCTCCATCCTATCAAGGTTGTTTTCAATTCCTAGCAAGTCATCGACATATAAAAAGACTATGATCAGATCGTCATCCGAATTCTTAACATAGATAATGTGTTCATTGTGGCTTATTACATAACCAAACTTACTTAAATACTCATTTATTCGGCTATACCAAGCTCACGGAGCCTACGCCAAACTGTGCAAAGCCTTCTTTAACAGATAGACTTTGTTATTGCCCCCTTCAACTGTAGAGCCCTCTAGTCGCTCCACATAAATTTCTTCGTCCAAGTAGCCATTCAAGAAGGCTGACTTGACATCTAACTGGTATATCTTCCACTTAAACTGAGCTGTTAGTGCGATGAGAAGTCTGATTGTGTCATGTCTTGCAACTAGAGCAAACGTATCTAAGAAATCTACTCCATATTGTTGAGCGTTGCCCTTGGCTACAAGTCGAGCTTTGTATTTTTTGACTAATCCATTAGGATTTAATTTTGTCTTGAAGATCCATTTGATTTTTATGATCTTCTAAGCTGATGGCCGGTCAACCAACTTCTAGGTTTAATTTTTTTTGATCATATTCAGCTCCTCCTTCATCGCAACTTTCCATTCTTTTGACTTCAGAGCTTCAGTATAGCTCATAGGCTCCTGATGCGTTGTAACTACAACATGCATTATGTAGCAAGTGCATTAGTCACTCAAGTAATAGAGTGATGAGTGAGTATCGTTCTCACGGGGATTGTTCGCTAAGCACTAAGTTTCCTACTGTTCTCAAGTTGGAGCAATCGAATTCTTTTGGATAAATGGGAGCAATTTAAACTAAGACTAAAACAAAAATTACTAAACTAAACTTTAACTATGAACGCAAGATGTAAAACATGGATAAAATCAATTCAAACAAACGGGTAGGGTTTTGACTTCATTCGGACTCCATGGGTTAAACCTAAAGAATTAAACTAAATTCATATTCACATGCATTGATTGTAAATCGAATTAGCTATAAATGTCAAACATACCTTCTCAGACTATGTTTTCCTACTCTTCCCTGTTAATCTTCCGCACCCAACAATTTGAAAGTTAATAAATCTAAGCTCATTAAGCACAAGAATCCTAGATTGATTTCATTGGTTCTTGAATCTATCTCTAGCATCCAATACTACAATGGTGATTACCCAAGGAGCCTAACATGATTCATTACTCAATCTCATCATGTTCATCACATAAAGACAGTAAATTCAGAGTAATCACACAATCACAGCAAAATTCATATGAAAAGAAAAACAATCAATTGTTTAACCCATGAAATTCCGAATTACAATCAAAACCCTAACCCAAAATAGGTTAGTTCATGGCTAATTCAATAAGACAAATAAAAGAAACAAAAATACCAAAGTTTAACATAATGTAAATAAGAGAAAAGAAAAGATATCTCTCCAAATGATGAATCCACTGGTTTAATCCTGAATCTTCACTCTCTTTAGATCTAAATTCGCTCAAAATGAATCTAAGAAAATTTAAATAGCTCTAAACCCTACTCGAAGACAACCCTGGCAAAAAGACTAAGTTTTTCTTTTATACCTCGCCCAAAATCCTAAGAAAAACATGTAAGAGTAAAACTGTGCGTTTTACAAAAACTGGAAAATGCAGACTTTGCCCCGGCGAAGAAGGAATCTCACCGCGACGACAAAAGAAGCAGATCTGGTGTGCGACTAGCTCATTTTGCCGCGGCGAAGCTTTCTGAAGAATTCTACAGAATTGCCCTCCGCTTGATTCTTTGCTTGAATCTTCGATCTTCGGTGCTCTCCCTTGGGAACAAGCTTCATCGTGCTCGACTCTGCTTTAGAACTCTCCCAACTTCTGAGATCTGCTTACTTCTAAGTCCAAAAACTCCAAATCTGTCTTTATTCACTAAAAATGTCCATTTCAACCTGAAACACAAAATGTAAGGAATTAAGTAGCAATTCAGGCATAAATGAACTAAGAAGTATATAAAATCCGGCCTAAAAGCTTAAATAAACTAGTATAATCCTCGGATTATCAGCTCTAATATTGCTATATTGCACCTCTCATATACTTTAGCTAGAGACCTGGTCCCTCTAACTGATAGCTTTTCATCAACATTTGAATCTTCCTCTTCATTCTGGTCGTTAGTGACCTCTTTCTGTTGTGACCTTACTTCTTCTTCAATTCTTTTATCTTCCCAATTCCAAATCGATATCTCATCGACTCTAACATCTCTTGTTATCAGAATCTTGTTTGTGTTTGGATTGAAGACTATATAGGCCTTAGATTGGTTGCTGTAGCCAATAAAGATTCTAGCTTCAGCTTTTTCATCAAGCTTGGTTCTTTTGCTCACTGGAACATGTGAATAATAAATGCTTCTAAAGACTTTGAGGTCGTCCACACTTGGCTTACCTCCATACCAAGCTTCAAATGGAGTTTGATTGTCGAGAGCCTTTGTTGGTAGTCTATTCAGTAGATAGACTTCTATATTGGCCTCTTCTACCTAAAATGACTTCGGTAGCTTCTTTTCAACGATCATGCATCTGGCCATTTCCATGACTATTCTATTTTTTTTTTCTCACTCACTCCATTTTGCTATGGAGTGTAAGGACTACTGAGCTGGTGCTTGATTCCAGCTCATTTGCATATTTCTTTGAACGAGTTCGAAGTGTATTTGGTGTCGTTGTTACTATGAACTGATTTAATAGTTAACCCAGTTTGATTCTAGGTCAACAACTTGAACTTTCTAAACACATCGACCACTTCACTCTTTTGCTTCAAGAAGTGAACCCAGGTCATTCTGGAGAAATCATCGATGCATAGCACAAAGTATTTGCTTTCACTCAAGGATGGAGTCTGCATAGGACCACACACATTGGTGTGAACGAGTTAGAGTTTTTTCGTAGCTCTCCAAGTCGTGTTTGTTGGAAATGGCTGTCTGCTCGATTTACCGAGCTAGAAAGCTTAATGTAGACTCCTCCTTTCTTCGATCTCTGGTAAATTTTGCACTAGAATTTGGTGCTTCATTTCTTTGAGGCCATTGTAGTGAAAATGACCAAATCTCTTATGCCATTGTTCGGACTCATCTATTCTAGTAGTATGAGCCTAAACTTCTGGTTTTCTCCATTCAACAGGGAAACTCTTTCCCATCATCTTTACTTTCATCAACTCAATACCGTCACTATCTACTATTGTACACGATTTGTCTTGAAAATGTAGAGAATAAGTTTTCTCTAGCATTAGTCCAACACTTAGTAGACTTTGGCTGATTTCTTCCATGTACAAAACATAAGCGATGTGTTTTGTACTCATTGGGGTCTAAACGACAACTTCGCCCCTTCCTATGAACTCCACGAACTCTCCATTTTTGATCTTTTCCTTGGACTGGAATGATCGATCCAGTTCCACGAAGTTGGTGAGATTTGGTGTTATGTGGTTGGTATAACCACTATCTATTAGCCATATGTTTAACCCAGTGTGAGTTGCATGACAAGAGGTCACAAACAACTGTTCTCCCTCTTGATTTTGTTGTTGG